ATGATCATTTTTTAAGCTTATGTCATGAAATATAGCAAAGAAAAAGAAAGAATGAAACAAATCTCAGTTGCTTAAATTATTTGAATGACTGTTACCTCTACATCGTTAACAAATACACTGGAAAAACCTTAAGCTTTTAGATTTACACTGCCCAGTCACTTGCACTGGAACTGAAACATTTTAAATGGAAAACGTACAAAAGCAAAGCATACTCTAAGCCAGGGTGAGAAAACTTCCTTGTTGTGACTGAAAGCAGTGCTCGTTTGCTACATTAAACTATGAAAACGAGTCACTGTAGTAACTGGTGATTTTGCCCCTTTTCTTCTGATGGGAAAAACAAGAACTTTTGTAGAGACCATTGTTCTCTTTTTCTAAAATGCCAACAAATCACTTTTTTCTAGCACCCAAAGCAAATCAGCTGGAAGAAAACACGTATGAAATCACATGGGAACCTTTACAGCCGATGAAAGGGGATTCCATTGTTTACATCCTTCAGCTTGCTGCTGGGAGAGAGTTTGATCAGGTACCTTTTATTTTACATAATGAACTTGAGGGTTTTTTTACTTTGAAGAATTATTGCAAAAAAAGGTGTCTATATTTGAAGGTTCAAATTCTGTTTGGTGATGCTTAGCAGCAGGGCTACTTCTCATTTCGGCAAGAGACTCGATTCACAAGCCTGACTCCCAGGGCGCTTCGTTCAACGTCCCAGTCGGTTCCTGTCAAGGAGGCTTTAAGTTTGTGATGGGTGGGGACAGCTTCCAGTATAGGGTCCTGCTGCTCTGCCTCCTCATGGCATCGAAGGTTGCCACACACTGAAGATCATAAAGGTCCATTTCCTTGTTGACCCTTTGCTTGTGCTATAAAAGCAAATGACTGTGAAGGCGGGCTTGAGAGCCACTGGGGGAGTTCCTTCTCTAGAAGTGGGTTAACACTGTTTAACCCTGTTTTCCCAGCATTTCCCTTGGCTCTTTTGATTCTTAAATCTTAACGGTTTGTGGCACCACTGTCTTCATTAGGTGTAGACAGCACTTGCCCAGCGTTTGTAGATGAGCTGTATGGAACAATAGTTGTGCAGAACGATTATTTTTTTTTTTTTTTTTCTGAGCTTCACAATCCAGGTCTGTCAGTGTGGGGCATAGCAGGAAGCTTTGGAGTATTCACAGGAAAATGAATCGTAAATTCTTCAGAAATAAAAGCAGAGATTTTATTAAGTGGGCTGGAAGAGAACAACTTCAGGCAGTGTCCAGCGCCGCACGTGCTCGTAAGGCAGAATGGAAGGTAGCATGTGCTGTTTGTAAGATGAATCCCATGTGAAGTGGTTCTCTCTCTTATTCTTCTGCCTAGGTATACAAGGGACCAGAGACTTCCTTCCGTCTCTCAAGCTTGCAGACAAACTGTGAATATCGGATCAGAGTCTGCGCTGGCCGTCAGTCCCAAGACTCTGCAGGATCACAAGAACTGTATGGACCTTACAGTCCCAGTACAGTGTTCTCATCTCAGAAACAGGAGCTGGTTCCACCATGTGCCGATTTGACGACGGAGTTGGCAGAGACTAAGAAGACGTTACGTGAAGAGCGCTTCATTGCTATTGTTCTTCTCTGTGGATTTGCAGTGGTTGCTATTTTATTTGCTGTTGTTATTCAGTACTTTGTAATCAAGTAGATGAGAGCCTGTTCAGTACTCAGCTTTTTGTACAGAAGCTATTTCGGGTATTTATGGTTAGTTCTAATTAAAATCCTAGCTGGAAATGTATAGTTACATGCATTTCCACTTTTGCTGCTGGCTATCAGTGAGGCTGGGGTGGCAGATCCTTTCCAAATACTGAACACAGATTTCTTGTAGAAAGGGTAATCCTGGGTCCTCTGTAATCAGGGTTAGCTGTTAATAAAACAGCAAAAAAACTGCCTTATCGTGCACGCTGGTGCCTGTGCACACTCTTCCTCTCTGTCCGAACTCCAAGTGGGGCCCTTTGGCCAGTTAGAGAAGGCATTGATAGAGCAAGTCCTTTCCGAGTACAACTAAGCAGTGGTAGTCGATCCGTAACGTTTAATCAGGTATTGTTGTAGTTTGGTATACATGAAATACAGCAGCACAAATGCTTAAGCTTAGAGCAGTACTGTATTGCAAAACATTACTAGAGCATACCACATTTAATATACTGTAGAAGGAGAGCAGAATATTGACTTTGACTTAGCGATATTACTACTTTACAGTTATTTTAATATTTCGGATTCAGTAATAATCATTTCAAGTGTTAAAGTAGAGGGTGCCAGCATTTTTAGAATTCTAATCAAAATGCTAGACAAAAGGTTAGCAGGACATAATGTACATACAGCAAAGGTGTCCGTACGTAACGTTGCAGAAAAGGCCCCTTTTGTATTGTACATTTCTGAATGAAATGCTTTCTGCTGTTGGTGAGCAGCTGTTGGCCCAATCCACATTTCACTCTCAGTGCCTGAGAGAAAAGTAATTTCCTGTGCTTCTGATTAAATCTCTGCAGTGTTTTCAGAAAAGCACAGGTATTGTCTTTAAGGAGAAAGAGTGCATTTATGATAAATGTTACGCTATTTGGCTCAAACTGAGCAAATGTTTTTGTACTATTATTAACCTAAAAATAAAAAGTTGAAACTGCTTTTGGATGCCCTTCTAACTTAATCTGAATTATCAAATTGTACATGAAAACTCTTTTTAGATAACATTTGTACAATGTTTTAAATGACTTGCTATCCCAGTGGTAGCAGCTTCACATTCCATTGCTTTCTAGATGGGAATGTTCAGCCTGCTATGAACTTTTCTGAAACTCGTCCTGTTTGTCTGGGGGGTGTTTTTTGTGGACACTGTGCACTACATATGACCGTTCTTGTTAAATCTGCTTGCGAATATCTAAAGATGAGTCTGACAGCTGTCGTCTTTATATCAGATATTTTGAAAGGTGGGACTCACAGATTCCAGACGTGTTTCAGAATGGGTCTTCCTAACAGCATTTGGAATATGCCATAGAAAGGTAGATTTAGCCTATTTTTGCAAAGACTACGGCTACACTTTATACACATCAGAGCGATGCACTTGTACGTGGAATGTTGGATGTGATAGTGCTACAGGCTAAGCATTTCCAGTAGTTGATCACTTTAAGGGTCTTTCTCCTATGGCAGTTGATGAATAATGTTGCGTTAGAGTTTGAGGCATTGTGTTGTATTTCAGATGTGGAAAACCTAAATTATGACATAGTATCGCTTAATACTCTTAAAAGTAGATTTATGGTGCAATCTGAAATTAATCTTTTCAAAATGTACTCTTCATTTTGTACTCTATTTATTTTGATTAAAAGTCCTGGAAAAATGTATGTTTGAATGTATTGTTCTACTTGTAGCAGAACTTTAAGTTAATCATTTATTACATCATAGAAATCTCTCTCCCTCAAGTGTTGGAAAGAGTTTTATACAGATATTAGTCTTTAGTTTGCAGAAGAGTTTACAATCTGTCTTTATTTCTCTTCATAGTCTACTTTTAGCAAATAAGACTGCCTTCAGCAAATCTCTATTGCCAAAGGGTTATTTCTTTAACTCTTAGAACGAAGTTTGTAGAGGTTTATTTGGCAATAATATTTCTGATGATTTTAAAAGATAAATTAGGATTGCAGAGTAAATACTAACAAGTCATGACTCCTAAAAAGTGAAAGAAAGTTCTTTTGTAATTGCCACAAAATAGTAATGTTTCCAGAAAATAGCCGTGAAAGCCTGCCGCAATACAGATTTTACATCAGCTGTTATCCATTCCAGAACGATATACCTTAGTGGCATTAATGTATTAGGTATCTTCAGTTTTCTTGTATTGTAATTTTGAGGTATCTCAAACTTATGTTAAAGCTGCCATGCCTTGTATTACTAAATTGTAACTATCAAATAGATAATATATTTAATACAGCCAATAAATAATACAAATGTATTCAAATTTGACTACAGGGATGTGTGTGGTTTTGTGGATTTTCATCTTACTCAGGAACAGTCATTTGTGTAGTACGTAATTTAAGCTGAAGAAACATGTTTGGCATTGTTACTCCATGTCATTAAGAGCTGTCTTAAAACCTTTCTGGAAGAAAAGTTATTTGTGGGAACCTTAGTGCAACACTGTCCTCTTCTTTTCCAAGAGCTGTGTCTGCCTGGGGACCGAGCAGTGCGATTTCTTGAGCTCTTTTACAGGGTTTTGGGGCAGGCCCTGAACTGGTGATCTGGACTCAGTGTTTGCCCATTGACAAACAAGGGATCTGGGCAAATGCCTTCTGCTCTTGCTTCCCTCCCCAGCCATCGCCCAGGTGTAGCTTGTCCCTGGTCAGTTCAGATGAGCTCTAAAGGCGAGAAGGGTTTCTTGCCATAGAGCTTAGCAGTGATGGGGTCTGACTTTGCGGAAAGCTGGGTACAATTTGAATGAAGAACAAGATAAAAGGCTGAAAATGAGGGCAGCAACTCGAGAGACCTGAAGGGTGAGCACTAAATCGATCTTTTGGAAGAAGGCAGTGCTTTTGTAGATCCACAAAATGAGTAATTGCTTATTTTCCTTCCAAGTAGATGCTTGCAGATGGTGTTTCTTAGGCTCACTTGCTGAGAGCAAGCAGCTGGCCTGGCTTTAACCTCCACTTTCTCTCTCTTGGCTTCTGTGGGAGGAAAGTACCTTGAATTATGTTTCACAGGTCTGTGATTAACAAAACATCTGGTCCTCAAAAACTGAGACAAATCCCTCCCAGGAGCTTTGTGGACAGTTAAACCTGACAATGTGGCTGGTAAGTCCACTGAGGAGAAGAGCCATGCCTGCCCTGTGCCTGCCCCTCAGTGCTGGAACAATGGGAAGTGACTCCAGCCTTCCTAAAACGATCCAAACCTATCTCTGGAAACACATAGTGAGAGGTAAGCCAAAAGAACAGAGTTAATACTTGTTCCAGGCTCTATGTGCATCGTCTACCTGAGTTTTAACCCAGAAAACAGTTGGCAAAATTAAGATTTAAGTCAATGCTGAACAGTTGACGTGAAAGAACCAAGTTCTGTACCTTCAAAAGAAACCTTTTTACCCCTGGTCAGGCTCCTGCAGTTCCGAGTTCGTTTGTGGTGCAAGATTTTGCTCATCGCTTCCCTGTACTTGTGTGACAGGATGTTGTAAAGTATGGGGTTTATGGAAGCCCCAAGGTAGAAGAGAAGCATGGCGATGAGGTTGAAGTACTGCGTGAGGTCATACAGGATGATTTCAGTCTGGGCGAAGAGGAGTCGGCCAATGTGGAAGGGGAGCCAACACAGCACAAAGGCAAAGACAACGACAGCTAGAGAGGAAGAGAGCACACTTCAGTCTCGAGCAGTGTTTGTTCTGCCTCTTTAAACTACTTAAGGACGGAGACATGAGCTTGCTAAATTAACCCAGCAAGGACAAGACCTCCCGCCTTTCCCAGCTACTTTTGTGCTGTGGTTACTGGTAATCTCAAGCAATAAGGACTTAATGGTTGCACACAAAATTAATTGCAATTAAAACTGGGTTGTCTACACCCATGTTGTCCAGTGAAGATAAAAGAAAAGCACCTTCTTGCAAAGCACCCTTTATTTAAATGAAGGGCTGCTGCCTGCTCTTGGCCTGAAAACCTGAGTGGCTGCTGGCATCCTGCAGTGGGTCCCAGCTGGCATGGGACAAGGATCATGTTCAAGTAAGCCCAGGCAGGTGGGTTGTTGCCATCCTCGGCAAAGCCATAGTCGCCCAGCTTGAGAAATTTTGCAGGGGAAATGGCTTTAAAACCTTTCCTTGCCACAGCAGGGGAAGTGCCTGCTCAGGTTTTAAATCACAGGATTTTCTGATTTCTTTAATCTGGCAGGGTCAGAGGTCAGGGGGGAGAGGAAAGTGATCTCAAAACAAAAAGCCATGCTGATCTGCTTCCCTGACATGCAGTAAGATCCCTAGCCTGAATACCATGCCATCAGGGACTCCCCTTCTTACCAGAAAAATCCAGGAACACAAATTAAGTGTAAATCCATTGATTTTAAATCTGTGTAACTCTGTGTGTTTTGTCCCTCCTTTCCACCATCCCCTGCACCGCTGTACGCCCCGTGGGGGTGATGAAAGAGGGCAGCTCTTCAGATTGGGTTTCTAACCCGCTCTTACCCAGCATTTTGACAGTCTGCCTGTGGGACCTTCTTCTGCTCGCAGCCTGGCAGCCCGGCAGCCGCTGCCCACTCCGCCTCAGCTTTCTGCAGATCAGTCCGTAGAGCAGAGTCAAGCAGAGCATTGGCAGGAAGAAATAAATGGTGGAGACCCAGGTCATCGTCTCGAGCAGCCCCGTGCGGGCCACGCGCTCGATGGGCCTGCACTCCCGGCTCTCCTGGGACAGGCTGCCGTTATGGTGTTCCACTCCAAAGAGGAAGAGGATGGGGCCGGCAGTCACAGCTTTCTGCAGATCAGTCCGTAGAGCAGAGTCAAGCAGAGCATTGGCAGGAAGAAATAAATGGTGGAGACCCAGGTCATCGTCTCGAGCAGCCCCGTGCGGGCCACGCGCTCGATGGGCCTGCACTCCCGGCTCTCCTGGGACAGGCTGCCGTTATGGTGTTCCACTCCAAAGAGGAAGAGGATGGGGCCGGCAGTCAGGAGGGAGCAGCCCCACAGCACCAGGATGACCCGTTTCACCCGGCACTTGGTGATGGTTGCTTTGGCTTTCAGGGGAAAGCATATGGCAAAGTACCTCTCCACGCTCACTGTGGTGATGTGCAGGATGGTGCAGTATGTGCATGTTTCGCTCAGGTAAATGAAGAACTTGCAGAGAAAATCCCCAAATATGTAGGGCTTGTACTTCCAAAGGCGGTAGAGGTCGGAAGGCAGGCCAAGGAAAATCAGTGTGTCTGACAGCGCCATGCTGGACAGGTACATGTTCACTGTCGTCCTCATCTCCTGCGAGCGTCTGAAAATGACGATCGTTATCAAATTCCCAGAGACTCCCAAGAAAAACAGGATGATGGAAATTATAGTGACGGGCACCAAAATATGGATGTCAAACAAAGAAAAAGACTGATCTTCAGAGGAGTCTGTGCTATTTCTGAAATAGCTGTGATTTGAGATGGAGCCCATGTCTAGTTTCAAAGCCAAGGGCAGGGCTGGCTTCGTCTTCCCCTTTGATGGAAACCTGATTTGTGGCAAGAGCGAGGCATGTTTCAAAGTGAGTGTCCAAGCACCAATCATCCACACAACGATTCTTACTTGATCAGTTAAAAAATTAAAATTATGTTTGTAACCATTTAGCTGGTGAAGCTGAATACCTGGGTGCTGATTAGTCCGTTTTACGAGAAGCGAAGGAATATTAGATTCACGCATCCCGCATTCACCAGGCACAACCTTTTAAAAATAATATTGACCATTATAAAACAATATTTACCGTGACGATATTTACCCTTAGCTTCCCAGTGTTTGGAAAAGGGCCATTTTTTACATTTCCTGTGAATCCCACTAAGTGTGTAGAGCCGGGTCCAGTGGCAGGGCTCTGAATTGATTGCAGGGGATCGCAAAGGGACGCAGTCCCCCCGACAGGAACCGGATGGGAACAGCCTCTCTGATGCGCTCAGCGGTTTGCCAGATCCTTCCAGCACCTTCCAGGGCCAGGAGTGGAAATCTTTAGGCTGAGAAGTTTCCTCAAGGCTCTGCCGAGGAGCAGGGAGGCTCACAGGCAGTCACGGCGCCTGGCGGTGCTTCACCTGCAGGATGGCTTTCCTGCCGCCAGTGACAACGATGCTGTTGTGCCGGGAGGTTCCCAGGATGCCGGAGTTCCCCGGCACGCAGCACAATTTCTGAGGAAATCGGCTGGGGCTGCTTGACTTTTTGCATCCGTCTCCCGTGCTGCCTATTCTGCGCTCATCCATCTTCCTCCTTTCCACCTACACATCGCTAATGATGCTGCACTAAATACGCACCCCCACCCTGCTTTTCTCCTTACCCTGCAAAAAGTGCCTGCAGTTACCAGGTAGGGTAGAACAGTTCTTTGATACTGGAAATTTAATTACCCCATTTGGGCCAGTTACATAATTTTCCATCATTCTGTGTTTACTTAGGGCCTTTCCCACTTGAGCTCCTCCCCAGCATATGCCGCCGAGTGAGAAATTTCTACTGACAGTGCTTTAATGACTTTATTAAGATAGGATGGGAAAGCCTTTATTTGAACATCAGTCTTCAAAATGAGACAGTCCGACACTTAGCCCTGATTTACTTTCCACTTCAGAAAAGATCAGAGACAACGAGCTGGAAAGCGCCATGGTGGGGGAGGCGAGGGGTAAAGGGGCCAGCGCTAGGGAAAATGCAAGGGAAGGCTCCGGGAAGCTGGAGGTTAACTGCACGCCGCCGGGAAGAGCAGGGACACTCAGCACCTGAGAGGCTGAGTACGCTGCCCAGCTCAACAGTAGGATGTGTCCAGCCACAGTCCTCAGAAATTCCTCCATGACCCGGGAACTGGGGTGCTGGCAGAAGTGAGCGGGCTACCCGGTACAAAATAAACCTCCCCCGTTCTCCTCAGAGCTCTGCTCTTTGCAGTTTTTCTTGTCTGAGGACCGTTCAAAAGCCAGCATTTTGTAGAGCCACATAATGTGGGATTTGGGTTTGAAAGGTCAGTGCTGAACACAGTCACTGTGTTGTGTTGACAGATCCCTGGTTGTAACATTAGGGAGATTTCTGCTGCCATTTCCAAGAGCTAGAAGCGCTGGCCGTGGATTTTTTTCAAGAGATTTAGGCACCTGAACACCTCAAAAAAAGAAAAGCTCTCTGGGTGCCAAGGCTTTACTTTGCCGCACCTTAAACACCTCTACAAAATCTGCCTAAGAAGAAATCCCCAATACTTCACTCTGTTGGTGATTTAAATGGCGCACCCTGAGCGGAGCTAAGCCCTGGCTGGCGCATGCACGCACAGGCTGAACAGTGTGTGGCTGTCATCCCTATTTCTTCGAGCAGATCGCTCCCAGCTGGGAGACGTTGCCTTTGATGAATGTCCCCGGTTCGGCCGTGGCAGGCGGAGGAGTCAGCGCTCAGCCTGGCCATGCCGTGACCCAGTTTCCTGTTTTCTAATGCTGAAAGAAATCCCAGTGTCTGGGCAGAGAGGAAGGGTGACTACTCTTTCATTCGGCCGATGCACGGTTCCCGCAGCCAGCTGAACGCAGGCATTCACAGCACGGCCGTGCCCCAGAGGGCTGGCAGTGGGGAGGAAACTTTCACGGCCAGGCAGACCCACTCCAGCTCAGCTGCCCGCACAGAAGGCATTTGTGGCCTCAGGGACAAGTGTCTTCCCTGTGGAAACTGGCTCTACGTGTTGTCTCCACGCCACTGGTTTCCAGGCAGAAACCCTGCAAGTAGCCGCAGCTCTTGGGTGTGCTGCTCAGCCTGGAGAGTCACCTCTGTGCAGCAGGGTTGGCGGGGAAGGCAATCACAGCACGGACAGGAGCCCTGCAGGGGCAGAAGGGTCTCTGGCTGCTCCTGGGGGTAAACCCAGAGCCCATTGGCACTATGAAGTATCTTTTTTCTTTACTGCATCGGGAATAAATGGCAGTGATGGCAGACGGCCCGATGATGCCAAGTTTCAGCCTGATCCACAGCCTGCATCCCATCCAGGGTGGAAGAGCTGCCCTCCCCCTCTTCCCTGAAACAAGGGGAAAAAAGTGGGTTTTGTTTGTTGTCTAAGGTCAGTGTCTGGAATTCATCCTCCGTTCCCTCCTCGCAGGATGTTTTTGTGTAATATCCTATGACTCATGAAAGTCAAATGACTTGGACTATAACGCTAGAGTGCTTCCAGCCAAAGAGCCTCAGCAGAGGCATGCCGGCCGCCTGCACCTCCAGCGCTGGCATGTGCTGGATGCCGGTTTTCCAGCTCCTGCAGCTGCCGCCACAGCCATGGGGCTGCCTCTGCCCCTCGTCAAGCTGAGTCTGGCACTCCCTGTGACCAGCAAACCTGCGGCGTGGGGGGCCAGCTGCCAGCCGCCAGCTCAGTACAGACGTATGGAGGCCAAGACAGATTTGAACTTCGCATTTACACCTAGGCACGTCGAGTGTATGGCTTCCAGGTGTTAAACATCATCCTTGGTACAGGTGAGAAGCAGAGAGAGAGTCTTGCTGCTGCTGGAATGTTTTGCAATGCGTTACAGGCATGGATCGGAGGGATGACAAGTTAACAGCTGTTTATTTCTTCTTGCTCTCAAAGGAGGTTGGCTTCTCTTCCCTGTTACATCAGCTGGTCTAGTGCGGATATCGCATCTTCCTCCAGACCTTGCTTCGTTTGGACATCACGGCTAATGACAACACTATTGCAACTTCTTCTGGCATGCTGCTAATCCCCGTTTGACAAAATCACAAGAGAACAATTTTTTTTGTTCTGTTTTGCCTCAGGAAGCAAGAGAAACTTTTGATGAGACTTGCATGGGATGTATGTAGAGATCCTTTGCTGCTAGGAAAACAAGCTTTAAAAGTCCTGCTGCCAGGACTCTCCTTTTTCTTTAATCCTGGGAATGCTGACAATTTAAAAAGCGGCCATCAAAGTCGTCAATGAAGAGGCATAACCTTCTGCTTCATCACTGGGCAAACGGCTGGCGTTAGACTGTTCTGCAGCGAGGGGGGGCAGGGGCCGATTCCCTGATCCCATCAGCCGTGGTCTGTGCCCTCACGTTATCACTTTGTCTCCACAAATATTTTTATTAAAAAGAATTTCTGCGTCGCAGAAATGTAGATTTTTAAAAACAAAAAGCAAGACGAAAGCCCTGCCTAACCCAAGACCGGGCTGACCTGCGGAGGGGGCTCAGGGGCTCACTTCACGGACCGTGAGGCCTGTGCCTCCCCACCCCACTGAAAGCCCCGTGGCAGTTAAAGGCCTTCACGGCTTGTTTGCTCTGGCGCAGAAAGGCGGAGCGGCAACATCTGCGCCGTACGAGCTGCCGCC